TTTGCTCAAGGTTTTGGCATGTCTGTTTATGAGTGATATTGGCTTGTGTATTTTTGACTGTCCCTCTTGGGCTGGGTGAGTGATGAGCAGCCATACCAGCCTAATAGCACACACGGGGGTGGTGGTGGTGGTGGTGGTGGGTGTCTTCTTTTTCTATTCTCTGGAAGAGTTTTATGGAAAATGTTGTCATTTTCTTCCTTATCTGTTCAGTAGAATTTGCCAGTGATATATTTTTTTGTTGTTTTTGGAATATCTAAATTGCACAGTCATTTTATTTTTTATAGTTACAGAGTTATTTAGACTTTCTATTTGTTTTTGGTTTAGCTTTGTGTTTCTAGATATTGGACTATTTCCTCTGCATTTTCAAATGTGCTATCATCTTGTTGTTCCCAATAGCTCCTTGTTACCTTTCTAATGCACACAGGAGCTGTTATGGTGACACACCCTTTTTACTTCTGGTATTGATTTATCTTTCCCTTTCTGTCTTTCATCAGTATCACCAGAAATATCCATTTTTTCAACAAACCAGATTCTGGCTTTGTTTGTCCTCTGTGGTATCTTCTGTTCACTTCTTTAGTTTCTACTAAGCATGGATCCCATACTTTTACTGTCAATGCAGTTTGCTCTTATTTTTCCTAACTTTCAAGAGGATGCAAGGCTTATTAACTGTCAGACTTTCTTCTTTTCTAACAGGTACACAAAGCCTGCACTGTCCTGTTCTGACTTAAGAGTTCAGGGCTGGCCTGACAGTGTCTTACTTCCCTTCTCTGCTGCTCACTGCCCTTGTCTTCACAAACAAAAGACTTGTTATTTAGAAACACACATGTGTTCCAAAGTCTATGAAAACAGGATGAAGCATCAAATGGGGCAGAAAGTGTGAGTTGTGCTGGAATGAACTCATTGGACACGTTTAGGGGTCAAACTTTATTCCTCCATTTCCACAGAAGCTTCCCCCAGAACATACTCCTCCTGGCTCCCCTGTGCTATGCTTTCCTGTAAACCTCAGTCTCCTCTGTGCCCCTCCCTCCTCCTCCTCCCCACTCCTTGCAGACCTCCAGTTCACAAGCCTCTCCTTTCCTCAGCTGAGCCCTGCCCCACGATGTTCAGACAGAAAGATGAGTCAAAGCCGGCATGGCCCACTGCATGGTTCTCAGTCTGGGTGGAGGGCCAGCAGATGACAAGCACACATTCTGACAGCATTCAGGAGTTGGCACCCGTGCAGGGACAGTCCTGGGGGTGTGCTCCAGAGAGGAGGGGGCAGCAGAGGTCCTGGTGCTGAGGCACCAGGTGGGCTTGGGACCAGGAAGTGTTGCTCGGCACTCAGCCAGTGATGGGGGGCACAGCGTGGGAGAGCCGAGGCCTGGGGTGGGTCATCACAGGTCCTTGTAGGGGCTTTGGAATTCATCTTGTGGATAACAGGAGGCCTGTGGGAGTTCTAATTGCAGGAATAAGTGCATCAGGGTAATGTTTTAGCTCACATCACCCAGTGATAAGGAGTAGGCTGAGGGAGGGGCAGGAGTCAGAATCTCAGTGCAGAGCAGGGCAGAGCCTGTAGTGGCCAAGGCAGAGGGCAAGAGGCAGCTTCAAATTCACATGAAATTCCAAGGGCCCAGAATAGTCAAAACAATTGTGGGGGGAGGGGTGGGGAAAGAAGAAAGTAGGAGGACTCATAGTAGCTGATTTCAAAACATCTTAAAAAGCTACGGTAATCAAAATAGTGTGGTACTGGTATAAAGATAGACTTACAGATCAATGGGATAGAATTGAGAATACAGAAATAAACCCATAAATCCATGGCCAGTTAGTTCTGATAATGGTGCTGAACCCATTAAACGGGGGAAAGAATGTGTCTTCAACCAATGGTGCTTGGACAAACTGGATGCCCACATGCAAAAGTATGAAGCTGGACCCTTAACTCACACCACATCAAAAACTAATTGAAAATGGAGCAGTGACTTAACTATAAAAGCTAAAACTATAAAAATCTTAGAAGAAAAGACAGGTAAAGCTTCAGAACCTTCTTTTAAGCAATGGATTCTTCGATGTGACACCAAAAGCATAAATAGCAAGAGAAAAATACATAAATGTGACTTCATCAAAATCAAAAACTTTTTGCATCAAGGGACATTATCAAGAAAACGAAAGCCTACAGAATGTGGGAGAAATGGTTTGGAAACCATGTGTCAGATAAAAGTTCAATATCAGAATGTTTAAGTAACTCTTAAAACTCAATGAAAAAAGACTAAAAACCCAATTTAAAAATGGACGAAGAACTTGAATAAACATTTCTCCAAAGGAAATATATTAGTCATTAGGGAAATGCAAATCAAAACCACAATGAGCTATCACTTCGTAGCCACTAGGATGTTGTTATTGTTAATTTGTTATGTGCCGTCGAGTCAGCCCTGACTCATAGCGACCCCCATAGGGTTTCCAAGGCTGTAACTCTTTATGGAAGCAGACTGCTTCATCTTTCTTCCATGGAATGGCTGGGTGGAGCTTAGGCACCATTTTTTGAACATATCAGTGTCATCAGCTGTACTGCATCTGCATGCAATATCAACCCATGACATCCATATAATCTGTGTTCTTTGTATTCACTTCCTTGTTCACAGTTGTATAAAGCTCTGAACCTCCCCAAATCTGAGGAACTCCCTCTTTGCTCCTCACTCACGTGCTTGTAATAAATGCTATCCTTCTCCTCATCATGTCATGTTTTTATTGAGTGGAAGCCATACCTGTTACTGTGGTTAGGTGCTGTCGAATCAGCTCTGACTCATAGTGACCCCATGTTACGACAGGACAAGACACTGCCTGGTCATGCGCCATCCTCACAGCCCTTGCTATACTTGAGCCCTTCATGGCAGCCACTGTGTCAATCCATCTCACTGAGGGTCTTCCTCTTTTTCTCTGAACCTCCACTTTACCAAGCATGATATCCTTCTCCAGAGATTGGTCCTTTCTGACAATATGACCAAAGTAGGTGAGATGAAGTCTGGACATTCTGGAAGGAGAATTCCAGCTGCACTTTTTCTAGAACAGATTTATTTGTTCTTCTTGTAGTCCATCGTGTTTTCAGTATTCTTTGGCAGCATCACAGTTCAAAAGCATCAACTCTTCTTCCATCCTTCACATGTATATGAGGCGATTGAAAATACCATGGCTTGGGTTAGGCGCACCTTAGTCCCCAAAGTGACATCTTTACTCTTCAACACTTTAAAGAGGTCTTTTGAAGCACATTTACCCAGTGCAGTAAGACATCTGATTTCTTGACTATTGCTTCCATGGGTGTTGATTGTGGATCCAAGTAAAATGAAATCTTTGACAACTTCAATCTTTTCTCCATTTATCATGATGCTACTTATTGGCCCAGTTGTGAGGATTTTTGTTTTCTTTATGTTGAGGTGTAATCCATACTGCAGACTGTAGTCTTTGATCTTCATCAATAAGTGCTTCAAGTCATCTTCACTTTCAGCAAGCAAGGTTGTGTCATCTGCAT